TACAACTTGGCCTGTGTCCTAGATAGAAGTTCGGAACTGGTATGAAACTTTGCCTGCTTCATTTGACTTGCTTTAATCTCCAACATGTAGTACGAACTATTCCCACAACATCTGGCAGAGCGGCTTCAGTTCGCTACCACAGCAATGCATGCATACGCTCATCAGTGGTCTTGCCAGCTGATATTCAACCCACGAATGCGAGTTGGGCTTGCCATGACTGATGGCGAAGGGGTCGAAAGAATATGGTCTGCTCTACGGCAATTGATATCCATCACTCGCTACTCCAGTGTTGGTAGAGTCTCGTCGATTTCAACTGTTTTTGACTGACGATTTTCCAGCGCTCATGCCGCATTTGGCTCATTGACCGTCTTGTACAGTCCACAGCGGCCAATCACCGGGATACTCTCAGTGAATGGATTCGAAACAAGCTGATCAAGATCAAAGAGCAGTCTCGGGACCTAGAGACCATTATCCGGAACAGTGGAGAAACGGAAGATGAGATTCGTCTGCAATGGGAGGACCAAAAGGCTGAGCAGACCTCTATCCGTGCACGTTAGCCTTTTTGGATAACTTCTTTGACGTTGGTTTACTCATGTTTTTTCAGATCTACCTGCTTGACTCAAGAAAGAGCTCGAGCAAGTTCTCATTCTTCAGGGCGAGATTGACACTCTCGAGGCTTCGATCCAGTCAATCCGTAGCTCATTGATCAAAGGACCCGATACTCGAGCCGCCTTGGATCATCTTCGCGGGCTTGAGGAAGATCAGCTCAAGATGAAGAGTCGGGCTGATCAGCTTTATGCCTCTCTCAATGTCGCAGAGGTCTATCCAGAGCTGCAAGGTGTCGCTCTTGCTTTTGTCCAGACTCTTCTTCTTGCCCGTGACCTCAAAATCAGCCTTCGTAAACGAGTCGTTGGAACCTTCTTAGAGATGGATCGCTTGGATCAGGCATGCGGAGGTGCCAACCAAGCTTTAGGTGAGTTAGTTTCTTCGTTGATCTTCAATTACCGAATATCCCCAGGCACCAAGGCGCATCAATTGAGCAAGAAGTCCATCGGTAAAAGGGCTCCAGCTTTGGCGCACGATATCCAGAAGTTTAACGAGTATGTTGAAACCTTGACAAAACTGGCCAAAGCCAATCCGACATGTCGCATACCCATTCCTTCAGCGCTGCCCACCACCATCAAGGAATTACGAGAATCCTCCGATATCAATGAGGATGTCTGGATTTCCAAATCCCCCAGCACTCAAGTTCCTCGCTGGCTTGTAGAACCAGAGCTCCGAAAGGTCATAGAGTCACGTCTACGACTTGACCGCTGCATTGAAGAGCGTCGCCGCTTGGGGCGAGAGGCAGACAACCTCTGCCGTTGGTTTGGTCGCAGGTTTGCTGCGCTGGAGTTGGCTATCCGATGTGAAAAATGTCAGTCATGTTCAACTTGAGAGGTTCTTGACCTGATCAAGTCCTCTAGTTACTCATCTTCGACCAAACCTTCTTCTGCGACGAGATCATCTCCTCTCTCTTCGCCTCCGCTGGGCTACGCCCATTGTACCAGTCATGCATTTTGACAGTCGTATTGCCAGCGGAACAGCCCTCGCTTTACGCGTGACTGGATCTGCTTCGAACAACACTTTTACTTGGTTGAATTCTTCAGCCCCTACCAGTCAATGAAGACCAGTGGGATGAACTCAGCGACACTGAGTCAGATATGGGTATCCCCGCCAATGTTCCCTTGATGGATATTTTACGTGCCCTGGAACTGGACGACGATGAGCTGGCGGAACAGATAACAGTCGGTTCTCTATCCATGTTACCAAAAGTGAGGCTAAATTCTTTACAGGTTGCCGAAGGTCGGGATCGAGCTTCAGTGTCTTCGCCGATAGCGTCTGGTCTTGTACGGCCGCGAGCCAGAGCTACTGCCGAGTGCACCCCTGCAGCTAATCAGATTCTCCCAGTAGTACATGCGCCACAGACTGCAAGACAGCGAGCCCCAGCTCTTTCTCTAGCGTCAAATCGCAATCAGATGCCGTATCTAGTGGTGTCAATCTCCACCGGGAATCTGGTCGGTCAGGTCCTTATTTCTCAAGTCTTCAGCTCACAAAGCTTTTCTAGCTGGCTCTGAAATCGGAGAATATGCTCAGCTGCTTCATGACTTTCTCGCAGTCTTTCTTTGCACCAGGTCGAGAGAGCGGGCAGAAGAGGGCCTTTTACCCGAACATGAACAAAGGACTTGTCTACAACCAGATTTCCCATGTGGACACTCAGCGTTTCCGTCCCTGAGAGTGGCTCAACGATGATTGCATTCTTGTAGGAGCTTCTGTCCTCTTCAATCATGTTTTTCCAGATCACTCCAGCCCTCATGTTGCTCTCTTATCCTGCTATCTCGCATCCCAGTCCAACCCCAACTCTATCTGGAAGACAGCTAGCAAAAGCCTCTATTGGACTCGGTCTGTTTGGCTACTTCCGGTGAATCGTGCTGCAGCAATGCATTGGGTTCTCTACATCGTTTATGTCCAGACTGGCAAGATCCAGATGTTCGACAGTTTTGGAGATCGGGCGGCTCTAGACGAGGAGGCTCCAGTTTGTGTTTCACTCTTCCAGTTCATATCAATACTGAACCTCGGCTCTAGCGAATCGTCAACCTTGTCCGAGACCTGATCAACTTTGCCAACGTCAATGGACATCCGCTTCTGGTCCCAGTGGAAAGCTGGACGGTGGAACCGCTAGTGGTACGTTCATCGCTTGGCTAGAAGAAAGGGTCAGCTCATCTCCTGTGCCAGAACTTGTCAAATGTACTTCAATGCAACTCTTTTGATTGTGGTGTTTGGGTACTAGCAGCCATGTTTGCTGTACTTCGAGGAAACGAGACCATCAGCGGTCTCTCTGAAAAACACATGGATACTGTTCGTCGTTGTATCTTGACTGGGATTCTGAACCTTCCGTCTGTAGCGTAGCCCAAGACATTGTATATAAAGAGACATTATTCAAGAAAAAGGCTGAGCTGAGATTCGTACACGGTAAGTTGACATTCTTGGAATAAATAACCGCTACTGTAAATCTGTTCAATCGTGGAGCAGCGACGACATGAGGGCATGGAGCTCTGCAAGGCGAACTCTGGACACACGCTCTTTACGCTGCATTGCCAAGAGCGCCACCTCGGCTTGTTCGATGGCAGCGTCCAGCTCCAGCTCTCGTGCGTGGATCAGTTGCACCTAAATGACATTATCAATGCGGCTTCAATGTTCAAAAAGAGAGACCTACTCGCAGCAATTCTTTTGCTGGTTCATCCAGCGCGGGCAGCTCTTGGCATCGTCTTTCTTTCTCGATTCTCTGCAGAGGACAGTTGAAAAGCTGAAGCGGCTGTTTGAAGACGACGAACCTTGATCTCAGTCTCGATAGCAGTGTCAACCTTCTCATGGAGCTTGTCTTGAGCCAATTTTAGACGTCGCGATTGCCAAGGAAGGTACGTACCAGTTGCAATGCTATAGGCCTATTGCAAGGTCAAATTGGTCAGTCAAAGACAATGCGAGCGAAAGAGAAAGCTGCTCACTTGATTGTAGCGGCTCATAAAGGCGGAAGGGAAGGAGATTGTCAGTCGTCAAGGAAGGGAGGAACCCTATAAGCAGTCTTCAATTCACATTTAAGCTCATTTTCTGGAAACTTCGACAAAATCAATTTTTGTACATCATGAGGTAAAACTAGCTGCATTCGGAAGATAATCTAGCGGTGACCTTGATGAATATAGCACGCTTGCGGAAAGATAAGCCTCACCTGGCGCTCAAAGCCTGCAGTTGCAGGCAAAGTGACTGGAATTTGGCCTCGTCCTCAGCACTCTCTCCAAGATTGAGGACTTGGGTGACAAGCTCCATGGTAAGGTCGAATTTCACGTCTCGTTGCTTCGCAAGCCCCTCCTGGAGTGCTAAAGTCAGTAACTTGAAGCCGGCGTTGATTGTCGCATACCTGGAGCTGAACCTCCAGCTTCTGCCTCAAAGTCGGCGACTGTTCCTGCAGGCAAATATGGGCTATAATCTCCTCCTCCCGACGTTCAGTCTCAGCCAATTTATAGTAGTCCCCAACCCGCTTGCAGCGCTGCTCTTTGGTCAGTGGGTTACAATCAAGAAAACACGTTGTTGCACCTCATAAATGGTCTGGGACGAAGCCGACATTTTCTTAGACGTCTGAAGCTGCTGTTCATCGACGAGTGGCCGACATCGAGAAAGAGCTCACCTTGCCAGGAATCTGTTTGTTGGTTGAAGGAAGGAGGCAGGGCCATCAGGCACACGACGCTGGAGCTGGCGGCCCCGCCAGCGTAGGAAGGAAGCGAGGCAGTCAGGCACACAACGCTGGGTTCCATGGAATTCTAGAATGACCCAAATGCCGCTGAAGGTGAGAATCTTGGCTACCACAGACATTCTATCGACGTTATGTTGAATAGTACTAGTTATTTAACTGCACCGTTTCCCAATGGATCGAAGACTCGAGACGAGACGCGCGCTCCTGTGCTTGCTGGAGGTTTGCCTCAATATCAGCCTCCAAACTGGCTAGAATCGCGTCCTGAATTTAGGAATCAGTCTCAGTCCTGTCTCCAATGCAGCGTACCTGTAAGGCCATTCTCTTGAGGTCGTCCAAGGGAGGCTGCTGGAGTTCCTGTTGCTGCTGTTCAAACAACTGCAGATCGATTCATTCAAGCTTCCCACAGATGGAAGGAAAACCCACCTGAACCTGGGTCTCGATATCGGTCTCGACTTTGAGCAAATATGCATGAACCCTGGCTTCCAGGGCCTCCAAGAGTTGCTTGCACCTATTCAGAGCGCGCTTGAGCATCTCTCGTTGCTAGAGACAAGTCAGCAGGATCCATGGTAACACTGAAGCACTGACTTTTGGTGTACGAGCGAACATGGTAGAACCAAAAAAGAAGGGTAGGTTCATGTGATCATGGGCAGCCAAGCCGGGCCGACAACCAGAAATGGAATATAAAAAAGTGCATTTCATGTGCCGAACTTGACGCTGCCAGTGGGATTCGAACCCACAGCCCTCCAGATAAGCAAAGCCACCTCACACGAGAACTTGAACCAACTGAGCTATGACGGCTTAAAGAGAGAGATAGCCCAGGCTCACATAGACTATGTAGAACAAATAATGCATGGTTTAGCTACAGTCGTACCTGAACTCCCTGGCGCAGGGTGAAAACATCACTGTCCCGAATCCATGGTTGAGTTTTGGTTGTGAATTGCCGAGTGATCAACAAGCTCATGATCGCCGGAAACAACCGAGCGGCTGTGCTTGCCGAACTGCACAGCTGTCACCGGTATTTAAAGGTTAAACCATCTAATTCCCACCTAAAATCTAAACCAACATGGTCAACAAGGGCAAAAGCGCAGAGACTCCAGCTCCCGTCTTCGACAATGAGATCCTTATGGCTCTCCTGGATCATATTGACAGTCTCACCCTGCAGGTGGCTGCTCTCACCGGTGGTAAGTTTTTCCTCCGTCGGCAATCATCATTGATTTCTTAAAATACTTTAGCCCCGACCGGCAACCAAGGCGTTTCTCTCGACGCTGACGACAGGAAGATCGAGGGTCAGTCTGATTGCTTCATTTCGATAATCTCTCACTCTCGTTCTTCTAGACGAAGAGAAGAGCGACGTCGACGGTAGCTTCTATTCTCTTCTTTCATCTTCTTTTGCTCATTTTCTCTAGACGCCGAAAAAAAAGTCTGCTGATGGTGAGCATTAAATTTATCTCAAGCCTCTGGTGCTCAAGTCCCTCTCAGACGACGATGGCGACACGGTTGTTGTCCCGAGTCATCAAGGCTGTCAGGCATCCGATATGTATGCCGCATCTGTCGCTGCCTCCAGCAGCTCTCAGCTGCTGGAAAATCCTCACTTCCTCACCTGCCCTCAATGCCAGCACCGATTCCCGCCACCGCCACCTCGTGAAAACTGGTACGCTGTGACACGAGGAACCCAGGTCGGGATCTTTAACGACTGGTTTGTTGATTTTTATTGCACTGCTTACTGGGGCTAACTCTCGATATTCAGGAATGACGCTGCTCGTCACGTCGTCGGGGTCAAAGGCGCTGTCTTCAAGCGCTATGGGACCAGGACCGAAGCCGAGGCAGCCTTCAACGCTGCTCTTGCCAAAGGCAACGTCCAGGTCATCGCCTAAGACAGCTGCTGGTCATCTAAAAACTATCTTGTTTGCTTTTCTTTACTGTTATCTACTGTATCTCGTCGTATCAAAATGAAAAGCTTGTGAATTGTTCATGGTGTGCCCTCGACAAGGACAAATCAAGGCGCGCTTGGCGCATCAGCAGCGTCGGTATCCCGATGTTCAACCCGATGCCCAACTGTACAGTTGCCTCCCAAAAAAAAAATCAAGTCAATTTTTCAAGTCAAGAAATACAGAAGTTTGTGACCCCATTTATTCATCTTCGACAGTGAAGCCCAATCCATCTTCGCTGTGCTCCTGTTGAAAGGCGAATCGACGGGTCTGAATCCAGCACTGCGTCAAGGCATGGCCCCTCATGACCTGAACCCGAATCTCCTGTGCCCAGCCTGCCACAGTCTGAAAGCGAACCAGAACCTTCTCGAATCTGGGTCCAGCCTCTGCTGCTTGCAGCTGCTGAACAAACGATTGCAGTTCCTCCACCATTTCAAACAGACTTTTGCGGTGGCGTGTAGCGAGAAAGTCCGAGACCACTGCTTGGAGAAAGCGACGGGGATTGTGGATGGTGAAAGCCTGAAATTCAGCCAAGATTTTCTCGACAGCGGCGCCCTCAACGGCAAGGGCTTCGTCAGCAGCTCTGGTCGAGAGATCATTGAGGGCAGAGAGGGGACAAGAAAATGAGCAGCGCACCTTTTTGCCTTGAGACGTCGCTTTTTGGCGGCCAGACGCTCTTTTTTCTCCTTGGCTGCTTGTTGGGCAGCTTCTCTAATCGCCAGTTCAAGCAGAAGGTTGACATTTGACTGTAGATTTACCTCAATAAATTCTGGTTGTACTTCTCCCGTCGTCTCTGGTTGATCGTGATATTTTGTCTGAGACGTAGCGACGTCTCAGCTTCAAAGGCGAGGAGAGCAAAGTATTTCATACCGCTGCTGATATTCTCGGTTACGACGAGCGTTGGCAGCACATCGTTCAGCCTGAGAATGATAGAGCTTGGCCCTGGCCATGAGTTTGGTGTGATGCAAAGAATCAAGGACAAGGTTCTAGGAGAAGCTGAAAGCACCATCCGCCAAAGAATGGTTTCGTATGATGTTTTGCCAACTAGGGCTGGAGCTGGGATTTTGCTGTCAGTCGGGACAGGATCCTTCGACGAGCTTTTGGACGGGATATCTAAGGGCAGGACTGAGTACTTAATGCATGGTCGCAAGATATGTTCTTGGTATATCCACCGGATACGAGAATACCGGTGACCGGTCACCCTAAATTAGGGTCAAGAGAGAGGTGAAGCATAGTTTCATGTAGTTTCCAGGACCGCAGCCAAGTCTAAAAAGACAGTGAACTATCTACAGACAAAGTATAATTCGCTAAGAATACATTGCCCAGCTCTGGCCAATACCGCTGTCCCCGATGAGCTCTGGTCCTTCAAAATCCCTTTCTTTCAGGCTTCAGTAAGCAAAATATTGGAGCTGCCATTAACTGGAGACCTACCGAACGACTGGCCCAGCTGCAGATCCTCCAGAGACGAATGGACTAGAGAGCGAAATTCAGAAGTCATCAGTTCAAGGGAGCGACTGAGGAATCGCCTACCGCCGGCTCAGCAAGCTGCGACCGCTGAGGTCACCTGGAGAGGAAGCAGTCCGAGATAATGTAGAGACAGGAAGACCGTAGAGACAGGAAGACATGGGGCTGAGTCAAATCTGGAGGTCGTCAGCTCAGGGGACCAATTGAGGAATCATGCACCGCTGGCTTGCAACAGAAATCGGCTGGAGAGCCAGCTGAGAAACCTGACACTAAAGCTGAAGAAGCTCTAGGGTTTAAAGGCTTTGTGTCGCTTTTCTGAAGGATCGTCTTTGGCGCGCTCACAGCTACCCGCTGCAGAGCGCAGACTCCTCCATGAAAGACAGACGTCGGGTAAGAATAAGGACAAGGGATAATGGGATTCTGGAAGCTATCAGTGACGGGGAGCTGCAGAGAATTGCTTACGTCTGGGTTTGCATCAGGATTCGCGTCGTAGACCAGCGCAATGACTGTCGGGGGATTGAGCTCCAGGACAGAAGCTAGCTGAGCTCTCTCGTGTACAGCGAGAGAGCCCAGCTAGCATCCTTAGAGGCTACTTACCTTGCAGCTTTCTGCGTCCAGTTTTCGCTACCAAATTTTGCAGCAGGCCGCCTGAAAAAGATTCAGCAAGAGTGGTGGGAACAACAAAGGTGTCTGACGATGCCAAGAAAACACGAGGCAACCATAACAAGACCAAATTAAGGCGGTGTTGGTTGCAATTTTTTTCTCGATTTCTTGCTCGTGCCGAGGTCAATGGGCCAATGGAAGCGAGGCGGCTCGTCCAAGAGCTCCAAGCGCGGTGGACGCTCAGCCGCCAGTCGCAAGGCCCAGGCCGCTGACCTCGAGGCCCATCTGCAGCACGGTGTTGAATCTCGTTGTCTCAGAGCAGGTGCGCAGACAGTTTACTTATTCCCTGGAAGCCATGACTGAGCTCTGAATCCAGTGCATTCATGGCCGAAGCATTATCCGTACGAATTAATGCACCATTCCATGTCCCAGGATGCCATTCGGAAGACGGTCACCGAGCTCTGTCCTTCGTCTATCGAGGAAATGACCCTGGTCAATCTTGACAGTGAACAATTGTTCCAGATCAATGTTCCGCCAGACATTCTACACGCCTTGGTCCAGGACTCTATTCCGCACCCTCCTTTCTTGTTCAAAATGTACAACAGTGTAACTGCTGCTGTCGCCACCGAGATTATTCGTCTCCACGACCTGTACGAGGCAACAAATCCTGTCAAGAAAGCTGGTGAAGAGCAGAGATCCTCTGTCCCTGCTACCCATGTTGGCGTTTGGGAAATGTATCGCAAGAAGAGAAGAGGTCCAACGGTGACAGGGGAATCAAGGGATCCTAAAGCGGAGACCAGGGAAGCTCTGGATGCTTTCCTGACCTTTCTCAACGCGACACTTTTCCGGAAGGTCAACAGCATTCTTGAGCAGGACCTCCCAGAACTTTGGGAGCGGGGTCTTCGGTATGGGTTCTTCTGCTGCCCATGTATCGCTGCTGATGATTCTTTCAGTGCCCAAGCCCGTCTGGATCGATTCCTTGGCAAGGAGTTTGCCCAGCGACCAGCGCTGCGATTTGGACCGGCATTTGGTTGCGTCGCCTTCAAATACGGAACCAGCGAGATCATTCACCTCGACTTCTCGGATGACTGGCGCTACCTGACCTGGTGCATGCCCGTTGGAGAGCACTGGGAGGGCGCTTTTTTTGTCATCCCTCAGTTCAAAATCAAGATTCCAGTTCGACCGGGCAAGATGTACGCAGTGCTAGCAGGAGTGGTAGCTCACTGCTCGACGTCAATAACAGCGGGAAAGCGGCTTATCCTGACGGGTTTCATGCAGAAAGAGCTTCTGAAACGGGCGGACGCAGTCGTATTCAAGAAAGGGTTTGTAGAGACAGATATTTCCTCCTTGTACGCGTAATCAGATATAGGATTCATTGCTTTGAAGAACTAGAGTCCTTTCCCCCACCGGTAAAGCTGGCTAGGCGATGTTTGGTTGAATCGGATCTCGTCGGTCATCGTCAGTCTCGATGGCCGACAGCTTTTTGGGTTGTTATTTCTCAAAAGTCCTCAAATTATCAGGCTAAAAGCAGCAAGTACAGTGTCATTTTTACAGATCTCGTATAAGTACATTAGAGCTGGCGGAGTTTTCAATCTAGGTGGACTTGACGAGCCGGTTCAGTAAGGCAGGATCCAGTAATCAAAGGACTCACTCGTTGGAAGAATGAGGTGAAGTCGGTGGGTCTTGCCTTCCTCTTCGGTACAACTCTTGTATCGACTTTGCTGTCCTCAATCTTGTCATCATCTCCACTGTCCTCGATATTGTCTCCTTCCTCACCAACCTGGCCCTCTTCACTATCTTCCT